CTGAAAAATGGACCTTTTCATGCAAATTATTAATGACTTGTCTCAATTTCACCCCCTTCAATAGAGAGTAAAAGTTCAAGTTCCATATCCTCCCTTTTCATAATCTTTTTTGGGTGGCGGGGCTTAAGTTTTTGGCGGGGCTTAACTGGAAAAGATCCCGTTGTTCTTCAGACTCTCTCACTGTATTGTTGGCACTAATCCGAGGAACAGTTTATGCGTCTACTCACCTCAGCGGCTGTAGCTCCCCAACAAAGAGTCAGAGCGAAATGCGGCAAATCGCTGATCGTTATCTAAACAAGCCTCCACATGCGTTCACTAGGACAGCGCTCTCCCACTGCCTGTTGGCGAGCTAGTACAAAACTTCGGTTTCTTTTTGAACACCTCACGTATATCCATGAAGAGTTGCCTCTTTCCACCTTTGAATTTTTATCTATTGATAACAGTGAGCATTCAACATAAGTGCATAGTAATTGACTTTCTAACTGGCTGCATTTGTAAGGACCACACACCACCATGAAACCTGCTACTAAAATTACCAGACTCTTCCACCAAGTGTACGAACTGGCGCCGACCCACGAAATAGTACGTGATGACCTTAACCGCAAGACAACTGGGACTCTCAGTCAGCTCCTGTAAAATACATGATTATTTTATACACCATAACGTCAACACCGGTCATGCACCACCAACCTACTTATTGCACGAGGTAGTTGGACGGAAGTGGCCGATGATGGGGTCGGAGTCGATGTCATCTATCTGGACTTCTCCAAAGCTTTCGACCGTCTTGATCACCGCATCCTACTTCAAAGACTACAAAGTTACGGAATCGGAGATCCTGTACTTGGCTGGTTTGGCAACTTCCTTTACCAACGAAAGCTCCAAGTACGTGTTAGGGGATCACTTTCTAACCCAATTGAGGTGGAATGTGGTGTCCCACAAGGCTCAGTGCTGGGACCGCGTTTATTCCTGGTGTTTATCAACGACCTGGCAAGGGTCATCTCCTCAAATTTCCTGCTTTTCGCCGATGATGTCAAGATATGGCGGGCGATTAGTACCACGCCAGACCACGATCTGCTCCAACATGACCTAGATTGCATTTACGAATGGTCAAAGAGGAACAAGCTTCAATTGAACATAGCTAAGTGCAAAGTGATGCATCTGCGTCACCAACCGGTGAGCGCTTACAGGCTTGGAGACCACACCTTGGCGAAGGTTTCTCAGGAGCGTGACCTTGGTGTATTAGTGCAGGAAGATCTCGGGTGTTCCAAACAAGCAGAGAAGGCGACGAAAACCGGAAATCAACACCTCGGCCTTCTTCGCAGAGCCTTCGGTCGGTTTGAACCCTCAATCTTTCCCCAAATGCTTAACGCCTACGTGCGACCTCACGTGGAATATGCTATTCAGGTGTGGCAGCCGTGGCAGAAACAGGATCTCGTTGCTCTCGAGACTCCTCAACGAAGGGCAACCAAGAATGTCAGGGGCCTCTTTCATCTGCCCTATCAGCTTAGATTGAAATCTCTAAGAATTTACAGCAGTCGATATCGGCTTTTGCGGGGGATCTCATAATGGTTTACCAGATTCTGAAGAACCCAAACCACATTTGTCGTCCGCTGCTGGAATTGAACCACAACACTAAACTAAGAGGTCACCCTCTTAAACTGACAATTCAGTACAGCCGGCTTGAATGCCGTAGAAATTTCTTTTCTCTCCGCGTGTGCCAGCCTTGGAACGCCCTCCCTACTTATGTCGTCTCTGCTCCCAATCTGGAGATATTTAAAAAACGTGTTGACGATGCATTGTCTCACTTACATTTCATTTTATGACTTGTTAGCCAGGGGCTACAAAACGCAATCAAACGGTGTCTTGCCAAACGCCTAACCAATGGATTTATGGATTTATATGTTTAATACGCAAACATATCAGCTATTCTACATAAGTCTATGGTAAGTCCACCACAACGCTGTTCACTTTATCATACAATTGATTTTCACACTAATTTCCATCCTACGGGACTTGTTAAGCAACGCTTTTTTACCCGTAATAAACCATTGTTCCATTGATTGAGCTCCGCATGTGCATACACCCACTAGACAAGACGGAGTTTTTGACTTATTTCTCACAAATGGCATTTCATACGCATTCGTGAATGTGCTACATAGCATCCAAGCGAATGACCATTAGGCAGGAAAACTCCCCTTTGATCTAACCAGGTTGGGGAGTTGTGCTGTGAAACCTGTATCATATCTACAAATTCAACATAACTGGGATGGCTTCTCCGAACTCCTCAGACCCATGATTTGGGAGACATTTTCCTGGCAGTTAATAGTGATATAGTCAAAAAGGCGTGCTTTTAAATTGGGTATTGCCCTTTCAATGGAACCCCGTTTTTGTTTTATCTGTCACGGATTCAACAATCTTCACCGGATTATAATTAAATTTTCTTCGGTTATACTATTTCAAAGTCATTAGCGCTGTACTGCACTGATGTTTAAAACGTGCTTTGAGATGCTGCGCGTGCTACGCGTAAATTTATCAAAGGCGCTTTTGTAACTTAGGTAACCACCCCCCGATTGACCGACTGAGATCCGACATTGTAACTTCAACGGAAAGCAAATGCCAATGATTCACATTTTTAACGGAGATTATCACATCAATATATGGGACCGTATTCATGTGACACCTGCGCACCCGATGCAAACTATTCCATCGATAAATTTGCATCTTTCTATTTGCCATTTTAATCCGTCTTCGGTAGTTATTCTAAAATGTTGCAAACACACAGTTTCGGATACATAAAGCCTACAGTTACTTGACTTGATTTGATGTGAGTGGTACAAACTCGTTGTGTGTGGCCTGGACTTACTAGCACCAAGGCAATGCGGACGTAAACCGAGCTCACAGTTCACCTTGGCAGTTCCAAAGTAAATGCTTGATAAACTCTAAAATGCGGTCCAAATACAATACGACTAAGCTGTTGCATTTTATTACACAAACTAATGAAACCATGCCACCGTGGAGAAACACAGTCTTCGGAGAAGGCAACCCAGTGATCGGAATGAACAAGGTCTATCTCAAATTGGACCGAGGTCTTAGTAAAGATTGTGTGTCGCAATCCAAACACTCAGATGGCACTCCAAATTCAACTTCGAATTCAGACTTGCCTTGTAAACATCCTGCGCTCGGCCGACTCTAGAATACTGTACCTTTTTGTTACCAACTAGAAGTAACGTGATAGAAGAGCAGTAGCGAGTGTGCAACACATGTTCACCAAGCGTTTAATGGAATCATCCACATTTACTTATCATGGTAGATGTAAACAACACAAGCTGGATTCCTTGTGGCTTTCGAGGTCCAACTTTAACATCTAATTTCCATACCAGATGCTGAACAACTTAAAAGTTAATACCAATTTCTCAGTTAGACAGTACACTGATGATCGATGCCCATTTCGAACCAGTCCGTTGACCTGTAGGAAGCTCGCACTCGCATCCGCTACAGTTGTTTTCTTTTAGGTACATGTTCGTGTGGAAAAGGCTACCTATAGCGAACAGATCGATCAAAACTGTAGCAACTTTGGCACTTTCTAACGCAGATTGCTAGCTAGAAAGTTCATTACTGAATTTCATGACTTGAGTTTATCTGAAGAAGAGCTGTGGGAACGAGGTCCAGACCACTTGTAACCGTACCCCTTGATGCACTGCCAATTTACATTTTGATACTTCATGGATCCGTGGATACCAATCGGTGTTTTCTATCCCCATATTCATTTCTACCTCACATTTCGCCAAGTTGCATTAATGACTTAGAGATCCAGCCTTTTATATTGACACTCTAACCTCTCGACGCAGCTACTATTCCTCTTATTTTTAAGTTACACAGGCAACAAGTCTTCGCTCAGTGATCTACGTGAGGTACTATATCGTCACTTTGCCTTTTATTTTTCCTGTAGACCATCAAGCCATTATTCGGTTTTAGCTGACCCGAACGATTGGGCTCGTCTCACTGCAACGAGAGCACTTCCACATACTACTTCCATACAGTTAACCCGATGATATTATACAGGATCTGTCTGTAATCGGAGGATCACAACTTGCCCTTTAAAATTTTGAGCTTTAACTTTCACGTAAATAATAATGGCCACTAGCCTGCCACATGTGGCAGGCTATTTGTGAAGGGTACTCATCCTTCCCGGTGTTCCGAATAACCGTCAGCACGTCGTTTCTTCACCTTATTTGGCCGCTATTTAACATGAGCTTAACTTGCGGTCTTACGCATACAAAATAGGAAAGTTCAGCTTACTAATCTGTGGACGATTCTGTTCCATCACAAGTTGCACTGTAATCGCGATAGCGAGCCAGTAGATAAAATTGTTGCTATGACACCCAGTTTAGTACGGGCAATGCAGTCCTGTTTTTGTAGCACAATCTTGATTGTAAAACTTTGCTTCTACAAGCCTACTTACCTCCTTTACTTTTTTCTGACTATGCAAAGCAAGGTAGAGTGGACGTACTCTCGAGCAAAGCAGGCGTTAAAAGTCTATTTAGTCACTCTTATTTGTAAGCGTATTATCTGAGTTTGACGAACACCTACGCAGTACTTTATGCTGAGGAAATACTCTGAAAGTAACTGATCGCGCCCGTTGAGGCATGTCTCGTGTACTTCGATAATAAACTATTTATTTATTTATCTAAGTTTTCACTAAATATAAAACAATTGACTCCGTGATTTAGCAAAAGTACCTAATGCCATATCCTATAATGAAAACCCTTAATTTGAAAACTGGTGACTGTAATCCAAATATTAATAGACATAAAATGAAAACTCTGTATCTCACTGGCTTCTGATATATATGCCAGCACAATTTAAGATATTTATATACTTCTTGATGTCCATATTTATTCTGGGGCTCGCGGCATAATGAACAAGTGTTCTGAAGTGAGGTCATTAGAATGGCGATGTGTGAACATACATACCGTATTGTAGTTTCAAAGCAAGAAGCTATCATAACGGGATTTTGTATTTGTACATTTGAAAAAAAACATTCAAAGCTTTTTCTGGTCATATAGTTAATGTTAGCTTTTTGAACAGAACTGTGAAGAGAAGGCAGGGTGTAGAAGCAGCGTTGCATTGAAGGGAGAAACATGGTCGGTTTAATCAAATCGCATCCATATCTCTCAAGCTGATTATGACCTTGTGTATACTCTTCCAAACTTCGCTTAAATAATTCAAACAAAAATCTGTATGAATAATGGAACTTTAGCGCCAGGTGACTATCGTGTACACGGTGCAGTCAGCAAACTGTGATACAGTTGCAAATGTAACTGTTAAATATCAGCTTTGTGAAAACAACAAACACGGGGTATGGTGAAAGAATCCGAAGATTTTTGAAACCTTGCAGACACTGAAAAATGTTGCTTGTGTAGCGGTTATCCATGAAATTTATCCCGTTATTAAGAGTCATGGGTGGCGGTAAAATGTTGATCACCATTGGAACATTTGAAATGTGCGTCAATCTCTTGTTTATACGATGTTCGTTATATACGCGTGCACACACATCTGTATATAATTTGTGGCTGCGTATAATCTGTTTGATAGGGCTGGAAATTACTAGTCTCTGGATCGACTGTGAAGGACTCTGTCTACTGTGAGACGAAATAAAGTGAGTGAAAGGTAGACGATGAGTTAGATTGCTAGATATACCGGTTGAGTAGCTAAAGATGTGCAGCCAGCGGTAAAATGATTATGCCTTTTCAGGTGGCGCGAGTTCATTTTGGTCACTGACAGTGCTTGAATACTTCACAGTTTGATCTCGGCTTGATGCAGTGAATAACGTAATGCTTACGTTTTGTGTAAAATAAACAATAATGATGACGACACATGGAATACGCAAACGAACAGTCAGTGAACTGATAGTGTACCGTAGTCTCTTTTACAAAAGTAGAAATTGGATTTAGAAGTCTCGGTGATCTCGAAAAGGGGCTATCCAGGAAGAAAGAAGCAGCGTGCTCGATGTCTAACTCAGAATAACACAAGCGCTGCTTAATTTGGTAATATGTAGGATAGAAGGTTCTCAGCAGGAAACAAAAAACTGGTGGTGCTGACTTGTCATCTATAAAGCGCCTCCCAAGTTTCGAAACGAAGAGCTCAATGTTTATTGCTTGGCCTCAACGCGGTGCCACTTTACAACAAACTCGAAAGGGGTATAAAAACTTAAGGCAAGATGAGGTACTGGGCAGTACAGTGCAGATGCTGTGGTGGTTAGCTGACGAACACCTGATTGATATAACTGATCAGGCTTAATGCGGACTGGTTGGGATCCAATTCAGAAAAGACGAATACAAGATTCCCGTGCATCCAGATTGGCTTTGAGCGGGCCACTATTCCAAACATCCTGGCGAAGGAAGAAAAAATACAAACGTTAGCGGAGTCTAGTGCAGAAAATCTGTTGATGTCGCTATACATGTCAGTAAGTTATTGCAAAGATTAGAACACTATAGCCATTTCTGAAAGTATAGCCCCGAACTGCAGGTGATTATTCTGGGTAGTATCGCTGAGTATTTTCTTGTTATTGCACGTTAACACTAGGGATGTGTAACAGTTTGATGACAGTGACCATGTCGCCTGTACAGGAGTCAACAGCTAGTCCAACCACGCAGTTAATTGTAACTAGTTAAAGCATACCATGTGCAACTAAAATGCCGGAGAAAACAAATGGATTTAGTCTGCACAGACAGATTAGGAAATGACATCCTGGCAATCGTTACTACAATCCTCCCTTGAGCCAAGTTAAGTGAAAATCTAGTGTGTGTATGTACCCATTCCAGATGTCATGCACGGAAACTGGAGCACTGTTTGATGGAGAAATCACTCTTAGAGCGGGAAAGTTGTTGCGAGACTCAGTGGTTCAAGCGTGAGTGAAACCAAAACAACAGTAGTGATATGGCTCAAGCAAAGTGACAATTTGATTACATATAGAAAACGCATCGCGTACATCCTTTATTTTGACGGTTGCACATTCTTCGTTGTGGACTATGGGAGGATATGCTAATGTTAAACGCTTATTCCAAGCCGAAACCCTAAGCCCTTGTGGGCTGTACGTGAGAATATAGGTGCAAGCAGACTGTTTCTCCTTTGTTTTGCCGTTGTCAAGTGAGCAACTACTCCTTTACGTAACAGATATGACGTTAACGACTCAAACTGGATCTCTGTGCGGGGGATAATAAAAAGTTATCAGATCTGACTGATGCCCGATGAAAATATCAGCATTGTAATCAACTTAACCTCACCTTGCTTGAGTCAGTCCACGAGCCCGTAATTCTTCTCCAGAGAAACTACAATCGGTGAAGAGGATTTGAAAAACACTTGATTGGTGATTGTCTTACACAACACATAAAGCATGCAAGACCCAGTAAAAATTTGCACCACATGTTACTCTACAATAAGCATTTATTAGGAATCAATACCCTACAGTAAACATTCTGTTGGAACTCAAAGCAGAATTTAGGGAACACGCTGTGTGGTTGGGTTGCGACTCGCAATCTCTATAGAGACCTCGGTTCACTATGAGGTAAACTTCGGTCAAGCGCTGCTCGCGGATCTCAGTGGCATAGTGCACAGGGCACCAGCCGTGAACTACTAGGCTCTGAGTTCCACCCTAGCTCAGACTATCTCCACCTGACGAGTCCAAACCAGGACGAAACCGCGGTTGTGGTGTGCCAGTGTTGGGAAGAGCAACACCCATCTATTTCCATTCTGTTGGAACATTTTAAGTGTGTAACTTTTTCTCCTCAGAATAGGATGTATTGGCTATTTTACTGGAAGAACACATCCCTTAAAAGTCTATATATATATATATATATATATATATATATATATATATGCCCTCGTCAACTCATAAATGACCGGTTTGCCTGCTCATTGGCAAACGATCTTGTGTAGAACCAACGAGCCTGACTAATATTGGGAAGCAGAAGGGCGAATTGTCAACTGAGAACGAGTGGGAAACTGACCTTCACCAGTGTAAATAGAATGTCTATCAACAAGAAAACTGTTCAACACGAAATTATAAGTATTGAGGATTTTACTAGGATAAGATCACTTGGGTAAATGATGAGTAAACTCCTACTTTATTCCCGCAACCACTACAAGTCAAAGGTTATCTATGCTCATGAAGAGAAATCGACCAGTTGAGTCAGTCCAAGAACAAGATTTGTTCGACAGCATGTCAATTCTTGTCCTTCACACTATTTAATCTGCTGTGAGTAGTTTGATTGCGCTATTGTTGTACAATAATCTGTTTCAGGCACATCTGTGCATGAAGTTACTAAAGTGCCAATTAGTTTGCGCACTCAGCTATCTGGCCACGGTAGACACAAGATAGACGCACAAAATGATATGAAAATACAACTGAGATTATGCACCGTTGGCGATCTCAAAGGAGCCATCAAATCAAGGAACGGATGATTATCAAACTACCACGCGACCACATGTCACTGCACAGTTGGTAGAAAAGGAATGTGTGATCATGAGATCAGTTGCAAATGCTTGTAAAGACACTGACGGAATGAGCACGAGAACCGAATTTTTGAATGGCTTTTGAAACGCGCTTTCCATAAAACCGTTCTCAGAATAAGTACAGATGGTATAGAGGCAACTATAGGTAACTAAAGGACTGGTCCTCTATGCAGTCACTTGACTAGTTCGATTCTTAATTCTTTCAAGAATGAACATCACTTGGTTGAAAATCGACACGGAATACGCTGGCTACATATGGCAATGTTCACTGCAAAAGCCAACTGACTTTTCCAGTGGATGGAACTTTAAAAGTATAAAGGTCTATTCCGCCCTGCAAATCAAGGAGTACACAGGAGACAGAATCGGTGTCTATACGGTGATATCATAACGGATGGGACTCTAAAGAACTAAATTCACCTCTATTACGACCTTTGATACTTAGCGGAACTTCAACCTAAATGGTCAGTAGATACAGTAGGCTACAGTTTGTTGTCAGGTGGATTGCTGCTTAAAGTTTTCTGTATTCAAATATCACTACCTCAGTAGACGGCTACCAATTGTTTTATATCCAAAACGCAACTTGGAAATACCCCAGGGTAATTGTACCTTGCGATATGGCATAAGCTCATTGTGGACGGACAAAGCGTGACTTAACGATATACTCATTTGCGTTTTCCAAGGGACCTGAGCAGTTGCAATAACTTATCTATACGCCAGTCTCATGCTCCGTTTACTGATAAACGCTTAGTTTTGTTGGCATATTCACCATCGAGTTCGTTATCATCATGCTGATCGCGCTACAGAACTGGTCATTTATCGCCTATTTTACTAGTATTAATGCAGTAAGAAGTTGCTTTCCCCCAATGAGGATAAAATAGCTTGTAATTATCCGAAGGTGAACGGATTCTTGGGACATTTAAATTGACAGCCTACCGAAACCGAAGCGAATACTAACCCTCCAAACAAAACCGGCTTATATCATTGTCTTTCACTGCAGATTAGTAGTAACTCAACGTAGGGTTGATGACAAACCATAACATTCAATGGACGCGGTAATCAGACTGTCTTTGCTGGCAACAAGTTAAAGTGCAATCGACATTTATCACGTGTGAGGAATTACACAGAAGACGACCTCAGATACTAACGGGATTACCAATTGGAATGGTCAGAATAGGTCTGTGTTTCGTCAAACCGCACGTTGAATCAAGGCAGGATTACGTCACCTGCTTACAAAAACTTGTTTAGTAACTGCATGCATAAAAATATTGCATTTCACACCAATAATCGGTATATGCGATTGCTTTTTACAAAGGATGTGTGTTAAGTGGTGCTTGCTTCAAGGTCATCCTCACACACGCGTGACGTGCGTGCTACTGGTTCATTTGGATTATTTCCCTCTATCCTCTCTCCATCTTCTCGCAGCGTTGTCACTGTACGCTCATTCGAACCGGATTTACCAGCTTTATACAGTGATCCATCATACGTGGAAATATCTTCTAATATTAGAGGCTGCACCATCGCCAACCGTTTTCATTGGCATCTGTGATTAAGCGCAAGCGTTTAATTCAATCGTATTGAGCCGATTGCCATTCTGTGTGATACCATTCGATACAGAATTCTCGAGGCAGGCCGAAAAGCCTAAGCTTACTCCGATCCAGTGTTTCTCAACACAGCTGTGAAAGAATCTGTGATCTGTCAATCTGTGTTCAGCGCTCTGTTCAGGTTGCAGCCACTCGCCATTCCTTGTGACCTTGTCAGCCAGTGTGGCTGCATTACCGATCACACGGACCGCGCGACCACGCCGACCGCTCATTTGACCTTGCAACCACCACGCTCGCCTGACCGATGTGCGCCGCTCTCAAAGCTGTAAAAGTACGGAACGCTAACCAACCCACTGGGTCAGGTAACGACACCAAATTGAATGGCAGAAAGGCGAAACCGAAGAGACTCCCATCGAAAGGCATTTGCGGGTTAGGAGAATGTCATCGGGTAGTAAAAATCGGTCTAGCTTGTTCGCACTGTTTGGAATGGTACCATACGAAATGTGCAAATGTGTCCCAACAACAGTTAAGGGAGCGAAATAGCTCCCAAGATGCATTTTGGTTCTGTACTGCGTGTTCCACCACCCCCCTCGTTAAGTGCTTGCTTATCCTAGCTGAGAAATGCGACCGGTTAATCGCAGAAGCGGAGCAGAGGATAACCAATAAGATTACTTCAATGGGAGCGAGTATGGACCACAGAAGCGTAGCGGCTGCTAAGCAACGGAATGCTGAACAAATCACTTCCCCTGCACCGCAATCAGCCATGTCTCCATCTCTGTTGTCTTCTCCAACTTTGGTAGAACGCCGGGCGAAAACAGACTGTACCTACGAGAATCAAACAGTACTCACAGCAAAGAAAATCAGGCACCATTCAAAACGTCTGGTTAAGCAAATTCCACTAGACCTGACATCTAGTATTAACAAGGATGGAGTAGCCAAACACCAACCCTTGGTACCTGTAGCTCAAATATCTCTTGTCGAGACTAAGCCTCTCAGAACATCGGTTACATATGCAGAGATTGCTGCAAGGGTCCACCGAGAGGCCGCCGTTGCGTCCTCTTCCATTGTAAACACCGTTAACGCAAATGGAGAGAAAAACAGCAAACAATCACTTGTCAACAAGTCAAGACAAATGAGTACCATAACTTGTAGATCGTTTAAAAAGGGATCCAACAACAGTGCCCGGACTGTTGTATGCTCAAATGTCCCTGAATCTACCGCCATCACATTGCGGGATAAGTTATCGGACGACCAAGACCAATGGAACTCATTGTGTATGCTGATGAGTGTCCAAGCCAAGCCCATAAACTTGTTACGAATTACTCGTCATCCGAACTCGCCACACTATGGTGAACCCAGACTTATTCGAGTAACTCTAGAATCCTCCACCGACGTAGAAAACGTTTTGCTCTCCGTAAGCGCGCTAAAACACGAATCCTGTGCGATACGTATCTATCCTGATGTCTCTTGGAGCGCGCGACAACCAAAACGAACCACCGAAGAGGGGCACAGCAAGCAAGACCGCCTAAACACAATCTTCATACATGGCGTGCCAGAACATCCTTCTAACGATGTTCAAGAGACCGGAAAGCACGATTTAGAACAGTGGCGGTTCATTCGTGAAACACTTTCTTTGGATGATGTTGTGGCACTATCGCTCACCAGGATACCTCTCTCACCAAATTATAGAGGATGCGGCCCCAGAATCCTAAAACTTGTGGTGCAGTCAGAGCAACAAGCAAAGGATGTTTTGGATCGATGGCGGAAAAATCGGAAACATCTTCCCTCCGAAATTCGGTTAAAGGTCGCAAACAATTCGCACAGCTCAAGTATTAAAGCAACTGAAGCAGCAAGCATCCGGACGAATGTACAGAAGTGTAACTTGACGGCTGCTTTAATTGACTCTGACGTAGATCTAAACGAAGGCTGGGACGCACCTTGGCCGAATCAAGTTGCAAACGAGGTATCACTGACTCATCAAAAAAACGAATAACTGCCGACCTCCCATCGGTCGGCATTCTCCCACACTTGACAGCTTCACCCCTCTGCGGGCTCCTAGAGACCGAGAAACTGGCCTGCTTGTATACAAATGCTCAGGGACTTTCTAACAAACTGGCTGAACAATTCAAAACCGATTTACAAGATCTAGTAACTACTGTTCCACTTTACAACCACATCACTTTGCCCACTCGGTTCAGAACTGGTAACACGCCATCTGTGCTGGATCTTGTGCTTACCAACGAGGAGCATATGATTGATGCGTTGGTTTTAGACTGCCCGTTGGGTCGCAGTGATCACGCAGTCATCAGTTTTAACTTCGTCTGCTATGCAGAATATCTGAATGATAACGATGATACTGTGCGAACCATCACAAGGTGCGACCGACTCGCCCAGCTAGTCAGCGCCACAACATGGTCTTTCCTCGAAGAAGAACCCCCGGAAGTCGCCTGGCTCGAGTTCGTCAACACATTCAGTCAGCTGATTGCACAGGCTTCAGAGATAAAAGCTTGCAATAAGTACAAATCCGTTTCTTTTGTTAGGAGCAGAACTCGAAAATGGATGACAGTACGCAACGCAGCATGGCGAGTGTACAGAGAAGCTCCAGCACCAGAAACTTGGGACAACTACGTAGCCCAACGTAACCACTGCACTCAACTGTTAAGAGAAGACAAAGCCGCCTATCACCAGAACATCGAAACAACCTTCAGTGCTAACCACAAGCTGCTGTACAAGCACGTTCATAGCCTACGAAAGGTGAGGCAAGGATTTCCTCCACTCAAGACGGCTGATGGCCCAACAAGAACATCTATGGAAGCTGCAAACGCGCTGCAGATGCAATACGCCCCCACGTTTCATAGGGTCTTGCCACCAAGCGATCTACCAAGCTTTGTATTCTGCTCACCAGGACTAACCCACATCAATTTTACCGCAGAGGCTGTATTGCAAAAGCTGACTTCTCTACGCAAACACAGCTCGCCGAGTGTCGACGCCATTCGTCCTGAAGCATTGGGAGCAGCAGCAAACCAACTGGCAGGACCTTTAGCTCAGTTTTTTCAGCACTGCTTAGACCAGAACCAAGTTCCCGCCATGTGGAAGCTTGGAATAATAAGCCCGATTCACAAAGGTGGAAGCAGAACTGATCCTTCCAACTACCGCCCAGTAACCCTTCTTCCTATACTCTCCAAGGTCATGGAATCCATAGTTGCCGATGCACTGGTGTGCTATCTGGAAAACTGCAACCTCATCACTCCTGAACAGCACGGTTTCCGTCGACAGCGGTCATGTACAACTAATTTACTAATTGCACGCAGTAGTTGGACCGAGGCAGCCGACGCTGGAGAAGGTGTTGATGCGATCTACCTGGATTTTTCCAAGGCTTTCGATCGCCTAGACCATCGGATACTACTATCCAAGCTGCAGCATTACGGGATAGAAGACCCTCTTTTAAGCTGGATCGCCAACTTTCTATTTCAACGGCAATTAGTGGTCAGAGTTCGGAGCTCTTTATCGGACCCCATACAAGTCGAGTGGGGTGTGCCGCAAGGCTCGGTTCTAGGTCCACGTTTGTTTTTGGTGTTCATTAATGACCTTGCACAGGGAATCGCTTCAAACTTCCTAATGTTTGCCGACGATATCAAGATCTGGCGCAGGATCCAAACGAACGCCGACCAACATGTGCTCCAAAGTGACTTAGATACAGTGTATCAATGGTCGATCCAAAACTTGTTGCATTTCAACGTCAGTAAATGCAAGGTGCTTTCCATCCGACATCAAAGCAGCTACTCATACCGACTCGGAACGGATGTACTGCAACAATCAACTCTCGAACGTGACTTGGGTGTCCTGGTTCAAGATGACTTGGGTTGCTCCAGGCAATCCGAAAAGGCCTCGAAGACCGGGAACCAACACGTTGGGCTGTTGAGGCGGGCGTTTGGACAAATAAACAGTTCCATATTTCGACAAATGCTCAGTGCGTATGTTCGCCCCCATGTCGAATATGCAATTCAAGCCTGGCATCCATGGCTGAAACACGACCTTAATGCACTGGAGCAGCCTCAACGCCGAGCATCTAAGAACGTAATTGGAATGCGCAATCGGTCCTACCAGGAGAGGCTGCGACGACTAGGATTGTTCAGTGGAAGCTATCGCAGGCTACGAGGTGACCTGATTATGACATACTTGATTATGCGAGACCCACATCATGTGTACCGCCCTTTACTGCAACTCAGCAGCAATACAAACCTGAGGGGCCACTCATTAAAACTCGCAGAACAATACAGTCGTCTGGAGTGCCGCAGAAATTTCTTTTCCATCCGTGTCTGTCACCCGTGGAATGCTCTCCCAGAATCGGTCGTATCTGCACCGACACTAACAGTATTTAAAAGACGGTTGGACGATGCACTCATCCACTTACACTTTGTTACTTAACACTATGTCTCCATCCTACACCTGGAGTTTACCCTGGAATTATTTGTTGTTAACTGTGGGTGTTGTGAATCTAAGTGGATCGCAGGACTGCAGCGAAGCAAACGATAAGTCCTTATTTTCGTATTTAAAGTATTAACTATTTTACTATCCTCTTCATCATAATTGTTATGTTGATATCCCCACCAACTATCCAACGGGGCTTGTAAAGCAACGCTTCTTAACCCGTATAAATTCATTGTTCATTGTTAATTGGGTTAGCGAGATCAATTTATGTCAATATGCCTGTAAGATTCAAATTTCATTTTGGGTCTGAGAAGTTAATTCGAAGAATTGCGGTTACGAGACTAGATTGTCAAACAGCGTTCAGCCGGTAGCAAGAGGTTTTTAACATTGAGTTACAATGTCTATGAAGTTGTGAATATAACTATTATGCATACATTATGAACGATGCAGCAAAATTGGTTAGTCATTAACCCCAAGGCGCATCCAAAACATTCGGCAACTTGTCTTTCCAGCCCTAACCCGTCCGTGAGATTGGGTCCGGTAAAGTGCAAGAACATAACCAACTCACGTTCGACCTTCTGGATCAAGTCCGCAAAAACTGATGTCACTTGGCTTGATTGACTCGTCCATCTTGCCACGTTTCGTCGATCCGGAGAACCGAACACCCTCGTTTGGCTTTGCGCTGACGGTCACGACAGAGCGTTTGGAGAGCCCCTTACCGTTGGTTGACGCCTGTCCCAAGATTTTGGTCACGGCCTTTCTTACGGCCGAAAGAGTTTCCAGTTTGTCTACCTGCACACTTCCCAGATAAAGCATGTCAACCACTGAATGGGTCGCAGAAGGAATGGCACGAATGGATGGTGTTAAGTATAATGTTTAGGACGATTCATTTTTTGAAATTAACATTAAAATATCTAGAGGAAACAACGGAGTCTGTCAAAAGATGGATTGAAAAGTAACCTGTGCCAACATAATTTGCATCAGCAGTTTCGAACAGGACTGTAATGAGGGCTAGGATGAATTTATAGAAAGATATGCCAGTAAAGGAACCCTAATTATTTCTTGAGGCTTCACTGAACGTACCATCCAAAAGCCTAGTTCATTGAAACACTAAAGAACAATTGCGACATGTCTGCGAGTTGGAGACAACATATACTTGGGTCAAACCATGCAATTTTAAAAATCGGAAGTTAAATCTCTATGAGTACGGAAATGCTGCAACAGAGGTATATTCGGAATAGTTGACTGGCGCTTAGATAACCTTCCTGATGCTGTGCTATTCCAATCATAAATAATCACCTACACAGAGCTTACAATCCATGGTTGAGGAAAGTTGCAATCAATGATTTGGAGCAAAACAACTGGCTACAAAACATATTCGTTACTCAGTTTAAACGTTGGTTTTATCTGTTCGTCAAGTTTGGTCAATGTAATTCACTCAGTTACTCTGAGGTCAGATCATTGAGGTGGAAACAGCTGATTCGTTTACCGCGTTTCACATCTCGTGTGTCATTAAAAGGCACAGGGCCTCTAGTACACCTTAGGTTTCTAACGGTTCCTGTGTTCTTTCGCATACAGCAACTTTGCATGTATTAAATATAATGAGCCTTCCATAATCCGGGTACGCCACGTCTCACAACGACTGTGCATCCCGTCACCCCGAAACTGAGTGTAATCTCACATAGTATGTAATAGAGATAACGGTCTTGGATAGGCACATATTTTGTCCGTATTTCCATCATTAACAATGGGGGAAATCATGTGGAGTTCATTTGTCCGACGTGCTAAAGCATATGATTAAATATGTTATCTCAGCTAGCCGGTGGCAAGGAAGCAACAAGAGTAGGCCGTTGCTACCAAGTGCGGGACCGCAGCAAATATGGCAACTGGTTTTCCGCAGTGGAATACTTGGCTGCAATATTTACGGGTGGAATTTGTAGCAAAATTAAAGACGTTAAAACCGGGTGATAAATAGAGCTTTGGAGCAAAGCGTGTGTTGCATGTATATGTAACTCGGCCGAGCTAGCGTCGCAACTATTTACCGTAGGTTGCTCAAATAAAACAGCAGATAGATAAGAAGGTAACCCAAATGAAAATTGAGAAATTGAGACAGGGACACGAGTTAAATCAGCGCAAAAGATACCAACGTATTGAGATTAAAAAGCACGGATTCCACCTGTAGGACTAAGAATCGCGACGAGTGTCGAACGGCTTAAATGAAATATTACGATAAGGTCAACTATTAAAATGGATACAAAGTGATTAAATTAAGCCGAAAATCTACCACAAATCTATACATTTACATGATGGATATCTAATCCGAGTCAGTAATGCACAAAATTTAAACAAACACTATTCTACCGCAGGAAAACTATTAAGTTCGCTGGACTTCGGGTTACTTCGTAATCTCCCATTATTAAGTAACTGCGACCTGTCCTTCGAGGTCGCACAAATTTTCGATGTGTATAAGACTTGGTTCGACATGGTAGAAACTACCTTTATGAATTGACTATATGATTAAAGGCTGGTACAATTGGGTTGGCATTCTGCGATCTTTGCTAATCCGACTGAGACAAAGATAAATTCCAGAGGTTGTCGGGAGTTGTTGGACATTTCCGCTAGGGGAAATTGGCTGAATTGGTAAATGCAACTGGATGTAAGCATTTTTAGCTTGTCCAAAGGGCTTGAATCATATAGTGACAAAAACACCTACATCCTTTTAGGTAGCAAGGTTCTGGGGTATAAAGTCCCAAACCGAGTCCAGAATCAGCAAAACGTACGCAGTGGTATAACAAGGTCACAAGACGCAGAAATGCGACTAAAATGTGTGACAAAATATACAGACTCGGCTATTCCGGTAAGTAGTCCAACAGTACCAAGCTTACTGGTCTTACACAGGTCATGCGAAGTGTGCTTGTGAAAGGCCCTATGTGAGATAGCATCTTATAGATAAAAAAACGTTGGATGCAAGGCAAAGACAAACACTGGCACGGCTTTGCTGATTTTCTTTTCTTAAATAAACAGAAACATTTGTAGATATTTGAGGACCTTTTATTAAACTTCAGTACCGACGGGAAAGAGGATGCCTAATATGCCGAAATAGAATTACGTAAATCACGTCTTTAGACGGTACCAAGGCATGACAAAGCGAGTGACTAAGGAACAACGTTTAGAAAACAGTTGAACGGCTGTACATAACTCACTAGGAACATCACTACACTGAAATGAGGAATGATAGGCCGACTAGTGCAAAGAAGCTCATAGGTGCAAAATGTGGGTAGACTGAAAAATCTGTGTCATCCACGCACGGGACTAATCCAAAGAGAACCTTAACATATCTCGGTGTCCTTGCGTTCTTATGTAAAATGAGGCTGTTGCTATCCTAAATGATATTCTGTGCTACCAATACTATCATTCGCATTATTTATCTTAAAAAAGTAACAATGGCGTATACTGCAAGTTTCAACATATTTCTGATGCAGTGCTACGTCTCTGTCGGTAAAGGTTAGAAAACTAACAACTAAGATTGGCTCATAATTATTAAGCATCAAGAAAAATTCGACGGTCGCCACACGAACATTGAACATTCTCCATACTTGTGATTTCATTTGTGCTTCCAAGGATTAGATGTCATTCTCAAACATCAAGCGGAGTTATCGAAAATCTGACGTTGATGGGCTTCCAATCATAACTGTTGTAATGCTACGTTAACTTACCCACTCCGCCTCCTCCAGCTGGCATCTTGACTTTGTTTATCGATCCGTAGGCATTCGACGGAGGTTGACTTGATGCGAATGATATGGGGAGGCGAAGGGCACATGGAAAAGGTCCGGCGTGCATACAATGATGATGCACAAAAGACACAAAGTCCGGAAACACTGGCTGATCGCTGAAGCCGCTCAACTGCAGTCCAGTCCCTCTACCATCGTGCATAGGAACGGAGTTGATGATGTAGTGCTTGATGGACCCATGTCTGTACGGATCTGAAAAAGATACAGTGAAGGGGTTAAAAAAACGGCATAGACAAGTCAGTCCCAGGTTGCAAATGACTGAAGACACGTTGCGTTAATTTCATTATGATCACTAAGTTCATGGAAGCAGATAAGGAAAAACAGCTTCGTATCTGTAGCCAAAAGTTTGTCGCCAGTTTAACTTACTTAAACAAATTTATAGCAATAAAGATAATACAAATGTTACGTATACTCCTAAAAAATGTGAGACCCTGCCCTGGGATAGAGGCAGATCATTAATCCGATTAGTATCATAATCATTCATGAGCGAGAGTGCATTCAGTAGCGTCTGTTTTATTAAGGCTTTGCGAAACTACAGTTTATATTGGTGATGAGTTTTGTGCCACAGCTTTTCCCACTGCCTATAAGTTCCTTGGTCCATCTTGGAAGAACTCATTTGGCGATTTTCTCCATGAAAGCATGATCATTTTTGAGTTATGGTCCAGGTAATCTTCACGTTGCATTTGCACCATACCTGACGCTGGCTGGTAGGATAATCAGCAAGACATTGTATCTGATTAGCAAGACGTTAAATAGAACAGCTGACCAGATTTTTCGCGCATTTGGGCCACAAATCCAACAGAAAAACCTCCGGATGAAGTGGGATTACAAATCGAATGTGCATGGATTGGATATGTCTTTCGGTCTATGAGACTGTACATGAGAATCGGTGTGTTTCCGTCGTTACGAATAAAGAGATTCGTTGTGAAGCCGTTTGCAACGTCTATGATGGCTCAAGGTAAACGCTGCACTAAACACGTTTGGTGCTTCATCATTGCAAGTTTTCCAGTTTTTCTGTTACGCATACGAATGTAACCGTAAATGATACTCAAGGGGTGGCAGGTTGAGGAAGTTGAAATTTTCGATTTCCGCGGAGACCGCATAAAATTCATAGTATACCTTAGGCATAGATCATTTGGCGTGCTATTTTATATCTTGCCTGCTCCAAAATGTTTAAGTTTAAAGAGTATCGTATTCTTACATCAAGGTTAGTTTCACACCGGTAAGTTCATTAGTTAATTTAACTAACTCTTTAAAGAGGAAACTTCGTAATGCATGATACTTGATTTACTAGATGAGAACTCGTTCAGCCAGATGTTACACCCATTCTCGACAGAACCGATGTCATCTTGAACGAACGACATTGGGCTTTGGAGTTTTTCTCGCTAAAATTTTCAAACCATCTTTATGTAGTCGGTAAACAAAAATTGCCTGCCATGTTTGATGGACGTGTTGATGTGGTTACTAAAGGGTAACAAAAGGGAAGCAGCAGATATAAGTAGTAACTAAAACATTTCTTTGACGTTTTTCCTTAACCTACCAGACCACCCAACGGGGCTTTTAAAACAATGCTTTTCAACCCGTGTAAAGTCATTGCGCATTGCTCAGGTAGGCTTCCTTGGATGATATCACAAGTGATTGGAGGTAAGGGGAAGTAGTGGTCAATCGGCATAACTGTCTGTGAAAGCCCATTCGTGTACAAGGTCAGCCAATGCAGTAGTTGGTCTGTGATCCCAAAGGCTTAGATTTTTCAGTTGCCACTCGTGATACACATCCAAGATATGCGTACTGATTGCACAACTTGAGTCACTGAATTCAATGATGTACTCTTCTCGAGTAGGCATTACCGGGATTTATTAAGCAGTTTAAGACGATAGATGAACCTCATCATTCTGCTTTTAATGAAGCTTTTGGGTCTTTTAGCAAATATGGGAGTGCGATAGATAGGCCGATAACAAGCGACCTTCTGTTTGGGCCCCCTTTTGACGCGCGGTGATAACCGAATTTTTTAACTGATCCGGAAATTGATCATGTTCCAACGATTAGGTGAACATGTACAACAAAAGTCGAGGTATACCAGGCACTCCACATTAATAGCGGATGACAGTGCCATTGAAGTCCAGCTTAAATGGTGATCTGAAGGACTTCACATCCTGTTTTATGTCCGGAATAGAAATCTCGGCATTGTTAATGACCATTGTTGTTCTTATTTCACGGCAGAAAAAAGGTGACCGGTTTCTACTTTTTGGAGGCAGCGGAAAAGCACCAAACGCCACAAATTACGGGTGAGTCGTTAAAACGACAAATCTCCCCATCTTTCAACCCCGAGTTCAAAGATACCACACCGTTATTTATACGACGGAGTAACTTTATTAGTTCCCCTCGTTTACACACCATCCACAAAGTATTCTGCTCCTCTCATTTTATCCGCATCACTTATGGAAGTTTGATACAGACGATGAATACTTGTGATTTTAATAACAAGGAAGTCTTTAGTCTTTCTGAATTTCGTAATTGGTGTTTTCGTTTTCAGATTAACCGAACTCTCAGTTGAATGTCTATACAAAGAAACCGCATGTTTATCTTATTGGATAAGTGGAGCCATGATACATATGACCTACTAGTAGAGCGGTTCTATTGCAATGCAGATGATAATGGAAAGTAAAATGTATCCCATTCGAAAGACTAGATAAGCTTTTATAAATATTCCCAGCCAATTCCTCGGATAGTATATCGGATAACCGAGTCGAGTTTGCTATTCATTTCGATGTAGGAGGTAAGTCTTAACCTATCGTGGTCACTACCTCAGAGGTCGTCTAAGATGTCAAGTTGTGTGTCGGAGATCCCCAGCGTAAATATTAAGTCTGGGATTTTGACCACATAGGTAGGTCTAATGACCCACTGAGTGCTGCCCCGAACTCTGATAGCCGACAAGAAAGCGCTATGCAACGATGAGAATGGTAGTGATAACCAATGGAACTTTTGGTTATTTAAAGTCACCTGCGAGTATCTAGAGTTTGTGTGGTAACACCGATGCAAAATCAAATGCCAAACTGATGATAGCAATAACCGGACTGTCTTTCAGGGGGTTGCGGATGCAATGGAGAAGCGCCGGAGTAACTGCAGCTACTACTGCCATCTGAGTACGCTGTACGCAATGCGCAGACAATAAATTTGGTCTACGTCCGCACCGTCGAGAAATATATAATTCATTTATTTATTTACTGGTTGTCATAGAGGTCCAGAGTGATTGATACCTGTGAGTCGTCAAGAAGCTCCGCTGCAAGTTTTTAATAGAGATGTTTAGCACCTAGGCCTTCCTCACTTGTGCTGCGATCTTTTCGAACCAGGTGGTAGTTCGGAATATCTAAAGTGAAACCTAACGTGCCAGATGAGCACCATATTTTGGTGACAAAGATTACATGTGAGGCTCTTGACTAAGTAAGCGTGATTAGAAAATGCAACATTTCGTTTACTGGTATTGCATTAATCAGGATAAGCAAAGTGGGCATCTCACAGAAATATAGCTCAAAAATTAAAGACACAAAAGTTATATAAGAAGCTGATGGGAACGGGACAATTGATGGCATGCTCGGGTGTAAGGGCATTGTTAGCGCTAGTAAGCCCACGTGGACGGAAAGGGTCGAGGTCGTGAGGCCAAGTTGGGATTTGCATGGTAGTGAGCTAGTCACGCCATGGGGATGCAATGAAGGATAAGTGGAACAAGATAAGCTGCTTCTTCTGGGAGTGTCAGTGAAGAAATTAAAGGGGATCTACCCTGCCCATGCTAAAAGAGTTATACTAAAGTGATGAATTGCGAGTGACTGCGTCATTAATATTTTATCTATTTTTGCGGGTTTCATATTTTTGGCTGAGGTTATGGAAGCATGGGAGATGATAAATAGACTGTTGTGCTGGAAGTTAGCTGTTAGATGTAGCCAGAAGACAATTGTCGCGGTTTCTAATGGGTTCGGATTAGCGCGTTGCACTGCGATGGCAAGGGGTTTGCCAACACGGAACCTTGAAGGCTGCCAAGTTTCTCTTAACTGCATAATTCATGCAAGTAACAGTATTCGAGTAGTCAAAGCAGCAAGTGGGCAATAGTTTCGTGTGTACGAGGTCAGCTCGCAATCTTTAGTACGCACGTCGGCGTTTATATCATTTTAGTAAATTTCTTTGCTGCATCGATCAGCTGCTCGTGATTGTTGAAAGAATTTAAATTGCATAACATATTCTGATAAATTTGTTAGAAATGATTCATGTTCAAAAGAAGTCAAAATAAGTTAGGAAGATAACAAAGATATCTCGCATGAGTCTTACCTGGGAGCCCAGGGGCCTTCAGCCCAAGACTAAAACTGTTCTCATGGGAGAGTCGATTTCGCACGATAAAGCTACCGGGCTCCCTATCTCGGAGTAGGTTTTCCACTGAGGTATGAAAAGCAATGCAGGAATCAAGACGTAGAGTACAGTTAAAGGGTTCCCATTGTATTAACAGCAATAGCAGCATGATTTATTATGTGCTCTATAGAGTTCCGAAACAGAATGCTTACCAAAAACAGCTATCTGGTTCTTTAGCATTAGTGGTTTGAAAACCGATGAATTGAATTTGGTCGTCTTAGTGAGCTTAGGAGGCACGAATATGCCAATGCGAATCCCCTTTCGTTTGGCAAGGAAAGATAGCAGTTGATATTAGGCGTCTAAAGTTAAGTAGCTCATGTTCTTCACTGATAAGATAAACACTCAACATGCCCCATTGCGCCATCATAGTGATGCGCTGAATAAAGTATAGTATGGGCTGCAAAGTGAGGAAATATTTAGCAAAATACTTCCACACACAGATTTGGTATATCAGCTTCAGATTAGTTAAATTATCCTTTAAATGCGACGTAAAAAAGCTTTATTAGACCGCTTGCTATTCAGTGAGAACCTCCTATCAACCTAGTTTCCTTCATTTAGGTGCCACCTATCTGAAAGAAAACAACGCATGTTTGTCCGGATACCTTGCTATACAAGCCGAAAGTGCGAGAATCAAACCTGTGCTTCTCCTTCAATTTGTGAGTGAGATGACCCGATGTTATACCTAATGCAGAGGAAAACACATAGGCGGCGGGATTTCAACAGATACTATTATTACCATATCTTTGTCGGCCGCAACACAAATGAGTAACTATTGACATACTTAGGGGGTAGGAGAAAGGAGTTGGACACCACATAATGACGATTCATTGAGTGAATAACATTGTAACATTTTATGGCAACATACGACGCAGAACTCAAAATCTGTTACGCAGTGCAAACTGCGATATATTTGCTTTTGCTGTAGTGACACCAACACTGTTAGCTTCCACTGCAAATCCGCTACCGCTTTTGACATGATGATGCCACCTCGACTAGTGACAAAAAGTCTACGCGCAAATTATGCTACTCGGTGAACACCGCAAAAACCGGGATTTAAAGCATCACCAATTCAACAACTTAATGTTTCGTAAACTCTGAGTTTAAACCCAGAATTTACCGCACAGGAACTAATTCAAAGGGCAATCGAGCGGTCTATATCATTAGTAGGTAATGAATACCTAAGTGTAAAGAAAACGACGCCGGCGGATATAATAAGCGCATCGAAAATCCAGGTTGCTTTAACTCGTGTCCCGTAGCCGAAACACAGAAAATACAATCATAAAATACAGTTACCGAGCCAGTGTTCAGGCTATAGATATCGTTTCATACTTAATTAGGTCAAATCAATTCATTGAACAATGCGCTTCGCGCAGCTACACTCATCTGTCATCCTGGAAAAAGTGTGCAGTTTCTTGGATGAAGTAACAACCATAATACACCTGCCGAACACAAGTAGGATGAATTTAATTTGCATGCCCAAGACGTATTTTCTCTAGACTTCATCCTTTTGTCCTTCAAACCGAGTAAAATAGCTTAGTATTTTGGATACATGCTTCTGTTTTTCATAGCACTGGCTAAACCCCATGTATGTCTGGTGGGCATTCTCAGCAGAAAGAGCATAACTGTCAAAGTTGTCTACTTCCTGCGTGCATGTACTAACTATTCCGAAAGTCTACAAAACAAACGCACCATCTTCTCTGCTTTTTTCTGGCATGTACCACTCGCGAAACGTGTTCTTCACTTGTTTCAACAACACTTGTTCCCATTCAGAAGCATCTCCGGATGCACTCATTCCGCTGACGCTCCCGGCGTAGTTTGGAGGCACTGAAATAATAATGCATGGAACGTGAATGATGCATCTAACGCAGCAGATAAGATACAAGATAGAAGATTTCACACAAAATTCTGCTTGCGCTTAAGTGTTCGCACCTTAAGTCAACTCACCGGTCGTGGCTCGCCAGTGTGAGTCCAGTGGCTGCGACGTCCGGTATCTATTCTCCGAGCCTCTCCCCTCGTAGAGTGAGTTTTGACGAATCCCACTAAAATAAATTAAATAAGATCAAAAACAGGAGTGAGCCAATTTCGCATAACAACGGTCCATCTGGAAAGCGAACTTACAAAATGCATAAAAATTCGTCCCACATTAAACTAATTATAGTGACTGACTACCTTTGCTTGACTTCCTAAAGCCCTTAGCTTTGATCACAAGTACAATTACGATGTGGTGTGTTACTTTGAACAAATTAATAATATCAACCTAATGTTCCAGTTAAGCGAAATATTATACCAAGGCTTAATCTGAAGGATAAACTGAACATCTGAACGCAGAATTAACACGCAGATGGTTTGTACTGATTATTGTACGTAAAACGGTTAATTTTCGTGCGCAACTTTGTAACTCTTCTGAACTGTAAATGAGCTTTAGAAGTGCTAATAACCAACTAATCAATAACAACGCTCGACAACTCTGTCAAAATGAGAAGCCTTACCTTTAATTCAAGAAAAAGACAGGAATACACTGAAACGCTTGCAAACATCCCTGCCCCCATCGGTAAGCAACACAAAAATTAAAGGTTCGTTATTGTGTCTTGTAGTACCCCCGGTGTGTCTGGAATGCTATAAGAGATATCGTTCGAAGCTATAGTTTCCTTGATTGGTCAACATCTAAGTTCATGATAAAGCCGGAAATGCGCGTAAGGCGAAAAACAACGCAGAAATAGTCCACACAAAGTTTTCATGACAGGACATAACGTGATAATTGCAAAACATCATCCAAAGTGATTCAAATGATTGGCGCGCTTGAACTACAAATAAAAAATTGAAAGAAAGATTTTAACTAGTAAAACAGCCACGCTTATCCCAAAACTCTGCTCCAACTACTCTGCTAATGCAGGACGAAGGGACCTGACATCTGGTGTGAGGTATAGCATAAACAATTCCAAATGTCTAATAGTATATGTCAGCCTAACACAAAATGTCTCACACAGTCACATGGGTGTGGACAACCGGTAGGCATGCATCTGGGAACCTAAGTATGGTAAGTCCCAAAAGTCTGGCCCCCTACTCCGTTAATGCGGAACAAAGGGTCTCTCCTTCGGGTGTGAGAAAGAGCGCGCTAAATGGCCAACTGTCCAGTATTAGATATTGGTCTATCTCAAAATGTCTCGCCCGGTCACATGAATGTAGAATGACCGTATTCATGCATGTGGGTACATGTGTACTTGCCAGTGTCGTCCATGGTGAAGTAGCTGGATCATGCGCAGATGGTTGAGTTGGAGTCAACCTACGGCTCACCACAGGGCTAGTTCACCGACCAAAACATACTGTGTGTCGGATTGGTTGGAACGGAGACAGGCGTGCACAACAGAAACAGCTGTGCCTCATTATCCAGCTACTGTGGTAGATTCGTGGTTACACTTGCGCAGCTGTAACTGGCCTGAGCAAGTAGTATGCAATAGGTTCTCAGTTTTATCCCAGCAAATGACTATAGAATGAAAATTACCTTTCAACAACCTACTTTATCAAAATATTCATTCCTTGCAAATAGGCGTTGCAAATATGAAATGTGACGTTTTGAGAAAGGAGTCCTGAAAAGCTATGCCGTCCAAAGACTACTCGCTGCCGCATAGTCTATCCACCCGTCGCAGTATTGATCGCGGTTGCAGGAGACAAATATGGTTACGCTGCCCCATTTGCTTCCGGCGGGACCATGAGAGTTCATTCTAACATATTCACTGATAGGGGAAATATTCCATTAGCATGGAAATGAGAAGCTGCATTTCTAGGCAAAATCTAATTCTCGCGGATACTGAGAATCACGTAGTGCACAAAGCGCGAAGCTCTTTGGCTTGAAGAAATGAATAACAAATCGTAGGAGTGGAAAGCTTGCTTATGAAATACAGCCTGAAAAGATAAGACACCTTCTGCGGCTGCTAACTTGGCTTCGGATTTTCCAAACCTTGTTGATGATAAATAATTATTTCACGGGTAGAAGATGATGCCGCAAACACTGCTTCCTTATAACGATCCGATTTAAATTGCTTTTTAATATCAGATGTGCCACCGTGAACCATAGAAAATTCGGATTTGCATTTGTCAAACGGAACATGCGAATCGTTGTCGCGTGTTGTCTTCTTAATGAATGAAAGATCGTTCTCCAAAAGCGCCTCATCACGAAGCATAGCCAAGTCAGACTGCGGAAAGAAACGGTTTTGATAGCACGTAAGGAAAAGGTATACCTCGAGCTCCCATTTAATGGTAACACCGCTTCCATGAGGGTAACCAAGCGCTTAATCTCTGGCACTCATAGAACCTAGTACGCTGCAGTTACTGGGGTGATCGACGGAACTTAAAAATTGTCGCTACTTTCAGTAAGGGAAGTGGAACCCATCAGCTCCAGACCACACTGCACTTAACAATTTGATCATACCTGCAGCGTCAGGTAGATAGGCAAGAATGGGAGTGTTTTGTATTTCAGAGTGAAGGAACACCTGGTCAAATGCGTTCAGCTTGAGGTCAACCATCCATCGCCCAATATTTCGTGTGCACGCAAACCGTCAGCATCATTGATAAGCCGACATGTTTTATTGACCCCTTATCGGATTGACCGCGGCTCCGCATTTCGGAGACTACGTCATCCCAATCCACGCTTCTTGCGGTTCGGCGAGGCAGTGAATATAAGCCGGCTGAGACCTGCCCTGTGTGTACAGAAACAATCAGTAGCTGACCTAAGGATACTCCGGTCTTAGGACGATTGCCGCTGCTCACTTCACAGCATTCCATTAGTTGGAGAGGTATAATTCCTAGTTATTGTATGGGCACTGATGAGGCAATAGGAAATGCGCGCATTTATCAGCGATTGCTTTCTCCTTGTGTTATTCATATGATTGAAGGGAACTAACTGTTAAAAGATAGTTTATTTCTCTACGGAGCAAGAGACCGTGAAGGTATAGGGACAGATCAATGCTTACATGAATGAGTTTCCTGAGACCGGTCACACATGCAATTGAGTGTCCCACTGACGCAAACCGAACTTTGGCGTAGTATGTGAACCGATGGTGAGCATCCACTCATACGGGGCTTTCACTGTGTGGCCAAATTTAACAATACGTCATGCCCTAGTTATCTCGCACGCACGTGTTCATCTGGCCACGGTACGCGACCGCTATGCCATGTAAGGACAGGCTCTCAGGGCTTGTTGCAAGTGTCCATTCAGTTATGCACGTGGCCACCAGCTCTTTTCTCTACTTAGCCCCTGTTTCAGTCGAGCGGCGGATCAGGTGACTATCGCCACCGTGACAGTGCAGTTCATGGTTGCAGAACATGCGCGTACGTTCGGTCTGGGTCTGCGGGGTACAAGGTTTGCACGCATGACCTGACGGCCGGTCCGATAAACCCGCCACACCTTCGATAGCTGCATTGAGGTCGTAGAATTCAGAATGTAGAATGTAGGTGATAATACCAGAACTTAGTGGACTTTAGTGGAGAACGCCTACATTTTGTCCAGTTTGGTAGAAATACCATCTTTAAACGAACGTATAAGATGACTACCCAATTGGAGAGCGTTTCCATTCATTAAGAGGGTACTACGTGACAACGATCCGCATGTTCCGTGTAACAAATGCTAATCCGAATTTGCTCACGGTGGCACATCAGATATCATAAGGAACTTTAAATCGGATCTTCATTAGGCAGCAGTGTCTGCGACAGCATGACAGAAGTAATAACTTCCGATCAGCAAGGTTCAGAAACACAGAAGCCAAGTTAGCATCCGCAGTAGGTCTCTTATCACGCTGTATTTCATAAGCACACTTCCCACTCTATGAATTGCACCAGAAAGTTGGTAGAGAAATGATGTGAGCCGAAGTTTGCTTATGCCCGCACAAATTATGAGCCAATAAAAATAAAAATAATCATTTTAATAATAATAATAATTAACCTAACTAACATCCGGTCCCCATTGGCCAGAGGTCAACATCAAGAAAGTCTTAAGAATGTAAACTACGTGCCAATGTTCACAGACGCCTCAAATCACAAGGAAGTAAAGGTGTTCCCACTCCTTGTGAGATAGTTTGTGCCGTCATTTGTTATTTTCGTGACTAGAACTGCAGTCACTTACTGATGACACATCCGGCGCCATTTGTAAATTTACAAAGAATGTGTTTGAACAAAACAATATGACCAGAAAGTTTTAAGATTTTGTGCTAACAACACCAACACAAATTTCGGTGGCGTTCAGAGAAGAGGAGCAAACGATGTATTTGCGAAATTGAAAACTTCGATTAGAGAAACACTTGTGTGAACTAGTTGCGTGACTCACAATGTCCACAACACATTATAAACGGCAGCTGACTTTCTTCCTATTGATGTTGAAACAGTTGTGGCGAAAACATCTTTCTACTTTTACATTTACACTGCTGATGAATAAAACGAATTCTGTGACTTCACGATGGTGGAATACCAACGCATTCTAGGATACGGGAAAACCAGGTGGCTTTCACTTATGTCAGCAGTGGAGATCATCCAGAAGTTATTTTCAGCGTTTAAATCTTATTTTAGTCTTGACAGAAGTGTCCTATCATCATAATATTTCTTTGCAACCTCAGCCTGAGCTGTTACCCTACTTTATGCACAATATCTGCGATTTTTCACGTTACTGTGAAATTTAGGAGCAAAATATATCGGCATTATCATGTCAAAGTAGGATTTATCCACCCTTATGGGTGCATTTTCGGCGTTTTACACCGACACCAAGGCATCAACTACACGGCATCACTGAGTTATACGAACCAAAGCGCTAAAAGAAAAGCGACATTATCATTCGAGCATGTGGTCGAGAGCGCGAAGTTTCACTCTTGTTGTTTTGATTAGAAAGCGAGATAGAAAAAATCAGTATGGAGTTTCGATACAACGAGGTAGGAGAATATACAAGTTTACAGTTTGCCCCGTTTTGTCATTAGCTGGGATAACACTGAGAACCTATTGCATACTACTTGCTCAAACTAGTTACGGCTGCACAAGTGTAACCACGAATCTACCA